GTATGATAAGACCATATAACAATCAGTCAGTTTATAAGCCTGTAATGTCACTTTACAAACAAAATGGATTTGTTTGTGGATCAGAAAACAATAAAATAGCAGTAAAATAGTCAAATTCTTAAAAAATATATATATAACGTATTTTTTTTATTTTAATTGTAATTTTTTTTGTCATTGAACTTTTTTATTTTATTTTGAACTTTTATACCCCACACAACATGAAATTCACAGTACAAAATGAACATTCAGGAAAAAAATGTAAACAAATTATAATAAAAATAATAGCCAAAATATATATATAACAAATATAAAATATTTAATAAAACAATACAACAGACAGTCAAATTGACAACCCTTCAATTGTCCTTTTATATGCTCTCTAAATACTGTAAAAAGCTACCCCATTTCTGACTAAAAGTATTGGTGGAGTCCTGAAGTCTTGCCAACAGATGAGGTAGAAGTCATCAGCTCAATCCAATCCTTAAAAGAGGGAGTATCTGAGTTCCTCCAATTTCACAGCACCAGTCTCAAAGCAATAATACATCCTGCGACGACTAGCCCAGCCTGCTTTAGATGTTCAGTTCTGTAGAGTGGATCTATCACCAAGAAGACAGACTCTAGGGGAATAAGGTAAAGGCTGTCCCAGCCATTTCTCCAGGTTTTGAATAACACGTCCAGAGTGAAGCCACCAAATGACAGTTCCACATTAAATGTAAAAAGGTGCCCACAGACTGACCACATTTCCACCAGTGTTTTTTTTTCATGAATCCATCCAGTCTTACTAGGGTCCAGTAATACCGAGTAATTATCTTGTAATGTATGAGTTTACTCCTCTCTTACAGTACCCCCATACCAGAAACTACTGCCTGCCATTTACCCTATTCAAATTCCACCTCCAGGTCTTTCTCCCAAATAATTCTTAAATGATCACTTTTGCCATGTTGTTTGCAGCAATCCTATAAACAAAAGATGTAGTTTGCACCGACTTTGACATATTTAGAAACCCTAATAAAACACTTTCTTCTGCTCCTACCTTATATCCCACAGATCTTATACTACTATGCAGCTGTATATGTTTCCAGAAATCCCCTTTATCAGATTTGTCTTTCAACTCCTGAAATGAATACAGTGCCCCTGTCAATATAAATCATCCCAGGCCTTTTTTTACACCAATCCTTTCAATAAACTGTTTTCTTTCCTATCTTAATAGCAGGGTTATTCCATAATGAAGAACAGACTAGTTGAAAATGGGACAAATTAATTATCTTATTTTTTCCAGAACTGCTGTGTGTTCCAATATAGGGTTAACTTCCTTATCCATAGTAGAATGTAAAAATTTCTGGGATAAAACGTCAATAACACTGAATGGGAAAAATGTTCATTTACAAAAAAAAAAATGTAAAAGTGTATACATGGTCTTGCCTCTAAAGTCAGAGAGTTGATCCATAAATTCAGCAGTGATGGGGCAAAGACGAGAGGTGCAGTAAGTGGGAATTTTGTAGCATATGCAGGACCACTATGGGTCAGTCATCCTTTTCAGTGAAAAGTTCACATCCATGGAATGCCATACCTGTTGATTTATAATTACAGTCAGAACTCCCAGTTTTTTCTGTAAAGCTGAAACAATTGTTGAAATCTTCAGCAATGTAAACATTAAGGGGGAGACCGAGGATGATTTTAACACAATTTTTCTTTAGCACCTAAAACTACCTTTTTTCCAGCTACATGACTGAAACTTTTGGGCAAAGTACCCACATTTGTCTACTACAAATTTAAATTATTTAAATTTCTTAAACTATATCACAGATTTTGTGAGATGATACAAAGTGGTCATTTGTTACAAGCTTTCCCACTAGTGGGTAGGTTGTAACACATGGGGTAAGTTGTAACAGGTAGACAAAATGCACAAAAACTAAGCGTACTACATGTGATATGCCACAACAGTTTTATTGTAAATAAATGACTGCAACAACACAATAAATGTGAATATTGCAAGTGTATGTGGATATTGTGTGTGTTTAAGCCAGCCTGATCTCACGAGAAAACGTAAGTATTTTACGTTTTGCCAGTTTAGTGGCTAATTCGTACGAGAGTTCAGTCGTGCGAAATGGTACGATTTTAAAAAGGAGGCGTGGCACCTGACCCCACCCCTAACCCCAACCGTCATTGGGGATAAGCAAATCGTACTAAATTGTACGAATTAGATCGTACGAATTCATACGAATTAGCCACTAAATGAAAAAGTTACGAATTGCCGTGAGATTGTGTTGGTTTAAGCATGCACATGTGCGTTTGTGTGTGCATGTCTGTATGTGCACATTCATATGTATGTGTAAGTGTTTGTATACTTTCAAAAGCTGTGTCAACCAACCCCGCCACTGTCATCTATTGTTTAGCTAGCTGTATTAGCATGGTGCTTTGAATTTAGTAGTAGGTTGATACACCACTCTTTACTAGAGAAACTACAGTTTGACCTGATATAACTCATATAACATCATCTACAATGGTGGAGGTTATAAACAAAATATTATCTTGCTATTTATTTTAACTTTCTTACCTCAGAATTAGATTTTCTGTTGTAGCTTCTGGAGAAATGGCAAGACTGACTGGAAAATCTCCATGTGTGATTGTTAAGGATACCTGAGGAAAATGTTACATGACCCCTATCTTATGCCCGATTCGTGAAACTGGTAGTGTTACAGCTCTCCCTTTGTTTAAACCATACCCGGTCTCTTCCTATTATTCTTTCAGGTTGGTCAGGTTTACATTTCTCTTTAGTAATCTGACTTACATTTTATGTTTGTGGCTCTATATATACTGAACACGTTTGTTGTATTGTATTTTTGTTGTTGTTTGGTTGTTTATTTTTTATTTGTTTAATTAAAACCTAACCAGGGAGAAGGGCTGCTAATTAGCTTTATGCTATGCAGGGCCGGAGCAAGCTGAACTGCCGCTCTAGGCAAAGGACGATCACGCCACCCTCAACCCAAAAGTGAAATGAAAATAGGTCGCGAACATGAGGACGCGGGTGTTGAGGGAGGTGACTGGTGTTGAGGGTGTTGAGGGACGCCACCCTCTCTATTCTGCCGCCCTAGGCGGTCACCTAGGTCGCCTCTATGGACGTGCCGGCCCTGATGCTATGTGATGTTTTATAAACAAATTTCAGGAGGAGTACGATTAGTCTTTGATGAGGCTAATTCCTCACAGACAAACATTTTATTATCCAATCAGCTTAAGACCAAACCACTATAAATAGTCAAACACACCATACCTCTGTTTTCCCTTGACTTCAGTATCCCTCCACCACCCCAACTCCACACTATTAAACCCGATACCTATTTAAATCTGAGGGGGGAGGGTTCTGGAGCCGGGCTAGACAGTGCGCTCGGACCATATCTCTCTCTATCCTGATAAGGGGAATAACATGAGTTAGGGCAATGGTTTTCAAAGTGGGGGTCGGGACCCCCCGAGGGGTCGCGGGACAATGAAGGGGGGTCGCCTGGTGGTTTCCAAAAATCTATTTATTTTTATTAAACCATAAGAATTACCATATTTTGTCCATAACCTTCTGAAGAGAAAAAAATAGTCGTTTATACCATATATAGTTACTATAGTAGCTTTTAGTTACTACTTCTATTGGATTACAACCCCTGGGGTAATTGCATTGTATTAAAGACACAGCAATAGCGTCAGATTTCATAACACCTGGTTAATTTTTGTGGCCCATTTACAGCTCTCATACATAGAAAAAAATTAAAAGAAGAATAGACTTGGGTCCATTGGTGTGTGTGTGCCATTGCATGCAAGGTTTCTGTATTCATAACCACCTCAGAGGATACTGGGGGTCACGAGTCACTGGCATTGTCATTTTGGGGGTCGCGGCCTGAAAAGTTTGGGAACCTCTGAGTTAGGGTGTCCCGAGCTCAGAGCCCTCTCCCCGGACAGCACGCCAAATACGTATATTCTATTTAGTCAAACATCTGTGAGTGTGAACTTGTGAAATGCCCTATGTACGCAACATTGGTTGTCTTTGCATAACAATGCCAAGTGTATTGTCCCTGTTAAATAAACTAACAAATAAAAAATATAAATAAAACTTACAATGAATTTACATATTCCTTAAAATAAATATACAGTTGAAGTCAGAATTATTAGCCCCCCTTAATTATTAGCTCCCCTGTTTATTGTTTCCCCAATTTCTGTTTAACAGAGAGACTTTTTCAACACATTTCTAAACATAATAGTTTTAATAACTCATTTCTAATAACTGATTTATTTTATCTTTGCCATGATGACAGTAAATAATATTTGACTAGATATTTTTCAAGACACTTCTAAACAGCTTAAAGTTACATTAAAATGCTTAACTAGGTTAACTAGTAGGGTAGGGTAATTAGGCAAGTTATTGTATAATGATGGTTTGTTCTGTAGACTATCGAAAAAAATATAGCTTAATAAGGGGCTAATAATTTGTCCCTAAAATGGTATTTAAAAAATTAAAAACTGCTTTTATTCTAGCCGAAATAAAACAAATACGACTTTCTCCAGAAGAAAAAATATTATCAGACATACTGTGAAAATTTCCTCGTTAAACATCATTTTGGAAATATTTAAAAAAGAAAAAAAAAAATCAAAGGGGGGCTAATAATTCTGACTTTAACTATATTTCATATATAAGTCTCACAAGAGGCCGTCATTTAGATTTAAGTTTTGCACAATTTGTATTCACATCACATGTTAAGTCCCAACACAGAAATCAATTGTGTGGAACCCAGGATTTTTTACACTGTAGTCTCTGTGTTAATACGAACTCACAAAAGCCACATGCATCATGTATGTAAATGAAGTAAACTGTCACCCTACAGGGTGTGTTAACTTCCCAAATGCATTTGATCTCTGTAAAACCATATATGATCAGCGAATACACTGACTGTGAGAACCTAAAGTAGCCTATACACACAGGCTAACAGGAAGATCAGTACCAAAGGCTTGTGTCTGTTAGCAAGGATGTGGTCACAGGCAAAGCCTCTGAAAACAGAAGTGCTACTAACAAAATTTTTCTTGATAGCATTTAAGGGAAAGTATCTCCAATGAGAAAACTGGTAAGGATATACACTCCATATTTAATTTAATAGCTTTATACGCTTTAGCTCTTTTTTTTTGATGAAGTTGCTTACAGTAAATGTAGTCTGGAAGTAAGTTTCGATGTTTGAAAACTGCTTGCATGCTTACAGAAATGCTGTCTGGCTGTTTGATCCATATCTAGTCATATATAACTAGTACCTAAAGACCACAGGTTTGCTTTAGTTCAAAGGTGGGATAAAACCCTTCTTCATTTCATTCATGAGAGCGTTAGAACTGGAGATTTAGAGCAGCAGACATGGTTTCGAGAGAGATGCAGCCCACATGTCTGAAAGAGGGAAAGAGTGCGGTTTTATTGACATGATTCTTGGGCTAAGATGAAGTGAAGATGATAGAAAAGTCTGAAAGGTTTAACGTTTCAGAGACAATGCAGGCGTGAGGGGAAAGCTTATGGCTGTTTATAAAAGATAATGCACGAAGAAGAAAAAAAAAAGAGAGAGACATCCGTCAGTTTGTCCTGCTTAGGTCACATTTAACGGACTTCGCTCTTGTGGTTCTTGCACTTGACTCTGAGGTACGGGTTTTAAGACAATCCTAATTTGTGCGGGTGCTAAGAGATGAAAGCAGATTGTGTGTGTGTGTTTTGTGTGTCCAAAATGGAGGGATATTTTGTAATTTCGTTGTTACACATTCATGTTTTTTTTTTAGTTTATTAACGGCTATGTTTCTTACCAAAGATTTCCTTCATCTGTGACTAAACCACGGAAAACTACATCCAGTTTCACGCTAGGAGAAATGCTATTTTGAAGTTGTCATCAGCAAGGGTAAGATTATTACAATACGCCGTCAAACTATTAAATGAACGCCACTAAACTGTCAATCATTTGTCTGTTGCTCATGATTTTTTTTTAAAATATACATATTTAAAAAAAAATGCACATTCATATTAATATATTGGAGAACATTTTCATCATTTATTTAAATAAAATAATTCAGAAATTGGAGTTATGATATAGCTAATATTATAAAGTTTAAATTTTGTTTAAGAAGAGTTTGATGCAACCAATTGCAGCAAGTTATTTGTAATAATTGAGCTAATATCTGACTTTAGATCAAGTTAAATCAACTTTGTTTTCAAGAATTTTCCTTTCCGCTTTGTTTCGAGTGAGCCGTTCCCATTACAAATAGTCTATATAAAATGATACATTTTTTGACATGTGGAAACTTGTTCAAAGTGAAAAAAAGAATTGAAACTTAAAGCCTCGTGAAGGCTTTAATGTCCTTACAGTGTTGTGAAACAATTAGAGTGAGAAATGAGTTTCAAATCAACGGGTGCTTTCTAAAATTCTGCTTCCTGTCTAGTCAAAAAGATATTTTAACAAACCTATTTTCCCAGACGTGCACCTGAAAATAACTCAAAATCTGGCATTTTTTACCTTTTTAAATTATTTTAGAAAGAAAAGTATAATTTCTATGTCATTAGAGTTGGTGTGCTCTGCATGTGAGTGAGCTAAAAAATTAGACGTGTTGTATATTTAGTAACTCAGACTTACCATAGCATTTATATACTGCAACTCTCTGATGATTTGAACTGCTTCTTTTATCTTCACTTGGTAAGTAGTTTTGGATAAAAGTTAAAATCTGCTAAATGTAAAAGTTAGAGCGAGACAATTAACGTACACAAAAAGACTTCATTCACAAAATCCACTAATCAAACAATTTTAGAGTTACTCATTTTATTCACTTACACATTCTGACATTTAAACAAACCATAAATTAATTAAAAAGGCTAGCATTGGCATGCAAAAAAAAAAAAAAAAAAAAGGAAACATAACACTGATGATTTCACTCCTGAAAGTGACATATTCTTCATACCTCTCTCCTGCCAGTTTCAATATGACGAACTGCTCAACTGAAGGTGTGGATACTTTAACAAAGAAGCTGGATTTGGTGATTTACGTGCCCATCCTGGTGTTCGGCTTGGCGTTAAACATTATGGCGTTGGTGGTGTTCTGCAGGCTGCTCCGAAAATGGACAGAGTCTTCAATCTACATGACTAATCTGGCACTGATGGACCTGCTGCTGCTGCTTCAGTTGCCCTTCAAAATGCACGCCGCGCACCACGAGTGGGCAGAGGACAAGAAGCTGCTCTGCTCCTTCCTGGAAAGTCTTTATTTTGTGGCTATGTATGGTAGTATCTACACAATTGCATGCATAGCCCTAGACCGATACTTCGCAATAAACCACCCGTTTCGTGCCAAGCAGTTGCGCTCGAAAAGAAACGCCTTGATTATTTGTGTGTTCATCTGGCTGTTTGTGATGGGAGCCACTTCACCGATTTACACCTTCCGCAGAGAAAAGACTGGTAATTTTACATGTTTTCATGGTTTTTCGGATAAAGGTTGGAGCACTGCACTAATTGTGTGCCTGGAGGTCTTTGGTTTCCTGTTGCCTGCCGCGGTACTGGTGGTGTGTTCGATTCAGAGCATCCGTACACTCAAAGCTACAAAAAACAGCAACCGTAAGAAGCAAGCTGGTGTGAGAATCATCTACAGCAGCCTCGCTGCCTTCCTAGTGCCCTTCACTCCTTGTCACATTGCCATATTCCTCCAGTATCTAGTCCGAAATGACCACATTTTAGACTGCAAAAAGAAGCAGGACATCGCTCTCTTCATACAGGTCTCTATCAACATCGCAAATGTGACCTGCTGCTTGGACGCACTGTGTTACTATTTCATCGCCAAGGAAGTTCGATCCACCAAAGATACACTCAAACTGTCCATTAGCAGAGGCAGAACCACCAGCAGCTCAGATGTCTGACGAGCCAAATTCATTGTACTATACTTTCACAATGTGTGTTGATGGACTTCCAGTGGAAGTAGAGCCACGGCCACAAAATCTTGTATATAAAAAAAGTCATTGAAGGCTTGAAGCACACAGCGCAAAGGAATTGCATTTCTATGAAAAATCCTGCAGGGTCACCTCAGGGATTTTGCCAGACTCACCTGAATCCAGGGAGAAATCTTTGAAGCGAATCTTTTGCCTTTGCACTAACCTTCAGATCATGTGGATTTCTACTGAAGTTACAGGATTTTACAAAATTGCCACATAAGTGTAAATGTGGGCAAGACTTAGGAAATGATTCAGGACCGATATCCTAGGTTACTGAGGTTTGGCGAATAGTTTTTGGACACAAAAGGAAAATTATTTGTTCGTCTAGTTGAAGTGATAGTTCAAAAATGTAAAATGCTGTGATAATTTATACACAAAGGCTGTCATAAAACTATATGGCTTTGTTTCTTTTTAAATATTTAAGAATATATTTTGAGAATTGCTTTTTTTTTTGGCCAATCAGTGCCCACAAGCTGGGCATCAGAGATGTTTGGTTCCCACTTGTCCCACAGAAACAATGCAGGTTTGTGCATGAGTAAATTATGACAGTATTCATTTCTTAATTGTACTGTTCATTTACTTTAAAAAGCATGTACAATTGAAGAAGAAGCATGAACAGAACATAAACATTACAAGATTTTTAGCATTACATAGCCTTGCAGATCTGGCATTTAGGCTGTGTGGTATTTCAAAATCACGACCTTAAAAATCTATTTGTAAAATGTAAATCTAACTCCCACTAAGACAACACTCATCGGAAACTCTGCCATCATACGCCATAGGAGCTAACTCAGTCACTGTTTTCTAAAGTAATTCAGCGTTGACTGTCAGGAAGAAGTTTTTCACTCATCATAGCACACGTGCTGCTGCTGATGTGACAACAAAAGTGATTTGATTTGAAAGAAGTTCACTGGTTGCAGCGCGGGCATGGTTTTGTACGTAATGGCTGCAAATGGGACACTTGCAGGCACTCTTCTAGAGCCTAAAATGAGAAATAGGACTATGGACCTTTGCAAGTGAGAGACAAACCTTTAAAGTCTGCAGGACCAAGTGAGTATGAAGTGTGTCACTTAGGTTTGGGATAATAAATCCTTTTAAAGTATTTCTTCCCATCAATAAATTCTTAAGTACACAGTTTTGTACTTTTGTTTTCTTTTATATACTTTTTTGCTTAAAAATCAAAGCTGGTAATGCTGTTATCTTTTTTGTAGCTGGTTGTTTGGTTCATGGCTTATAACATTCAATAAGACTTTTTAACATGTAATGTAATGTAATGTGTATTTTTATAGCGCATTTATCGTGTATGGTCATACACCCAAAGCGCTTCACAATGATGAGGAGGGGGTCTCTCCACACCACCACCAGTGTGCAGCATCCACTTGGATGATGCGACGGCAGCCACAGGACAACGGCGCCAGTGCACTCACCACACACCAGCTATTGGGGGAGTGGAGAGACAGTGATAGAGCCAATTCGGTGGATGGGGATGATTGGGCCGCCATGATCGTGAGGGCCTATAGAGGGAATTTGGCCAGGACACCGGGGTTACACCCTACTCTTTTAAGAGAAGTGCCATGGGATTTTTAATGACCACAGAGAGAGTCAGGACCTCAGTTTGACATCTCATCCGAAAGAACATCTACAGTTGAAGTCAGAATTATTTTTCTTTTCTTTTTTTTTATATTTTCAAAATGATGTTTAGAAGAGCAAGGACATTTTCACGGTACTATGTCTGATAATATTTTGAAAGTCTTATTTGTTAAATTTCAGCTAGAATAAAAGCAGTTTTTAATTTTTTAAAAGCCATTTCAAGAACAAAATTATTAGCCCCTATAAGCTATATTTTTTAATAGCCTACCGAACAAATCATCGTTATATAATAACTTGCCTAACTCCTGCCTAGTTAACCTAGTTAAGCCTTTAAATGTCACTTTAAGCTGTATAGCAGTGTCTTGAAAAAGATCCAGTAAAATAATATGTACTGTCATCATGGCAAAGATAAAATAAATCAGTTATTAGAAATGAGTTATTAAAACTGTTATGTTTAGAAATATGTTGAAAAAATCTTATCTCCATTAAACAGAAATTGGAGGAAACCATAAACAGGGGGGCGAATAATTCAGACTTCAACTGTACATGGGACAAATAATTCATATTAAAATAATTCTGGAAATGGCACAGTAAAAAAGTGCATTTGTTATTGAAATTATCACAAAGTAGGCTAAATGAGGCTAAAGAGACTATCAGGAATTATCTGGTAAACTCGTCTATTTCCTGTCTTCTGCATTTATTCACAAAAACTATTTAAATTAAGGGATTTTGTAAAGACTGGAAAAGTGAGAAGAAGCCAAATGGTGGCGTCTATAATTAGCATTTTACATCTTGTATGCAGGCTTCAACGTTCATAAAACTTTCACATCATGCAGGAATCATAAACATTTGGTGGTCAGAACTGTATTTTCTGCAATAACCTCAAAAGCCAATAATAATAATAATAATAATAATGATAATAATGATAATAATAATAATAATAATAATAATAGTAATAATAATAATAATAATGATAATAATAACAATAATAATAATGATAATAATAATAATAATAATAATAATGATAATAATAATAATAATAGTAATAATAATAATAATAATGATAATAATAACAATAATAATAATAATTCATTTTAAAAAATGGCATAGTCCCTTTACTAATCCAGGGTCCCCACAGTGAAATGAACCACCAACTTATCCAGCATATGTTTCACACAGCGGATGCCCTTCTAGCTGCAACCCTTCACAGGGAAACATCCATACACTCTTATTCACACTTATTCACTACGGACAATTTAGCTTACCCAATTCACCTATACCTCATGTCTTTGGACTTGTGGGGAAAACCAGAGCGCTCAGAGGAAACCCCACGCGAACACGGGGAGAACATCCAAAGTTAAATAAATAGAAGTTTTTATTTAAGGAAACGTGAGTGATGCTAACTTCTAGAGTGGCCTACAAAAATACGCCATCGCATCAGTTGTCCTGTGCATTTTAATTGTAACTTGTACTTACAATCCCGTAATTTCTTCTGATTCTTCATTCTTCTTTATCTCGGCTCACACTTGTCAACATGAAAATCTTGAGGTGTTCATGCTCGCACGCGATGGTCGTCTGGCAAACAACCTGTAAAGTTCAGAATGACTCATAAAGTAATCTTTCTGATGCAACATTGGCGATGGCATATTTCACAATGACCTTTTTTAATCTGTATCTGACACCTTTACCAGTATTTGTGTGCTTTGTGTGGTATGAGGTCTGACATGTTTCAATCCTTTAATTAGTTGTATCTAATAAAGGCGTCTTAAAGTGTGACAAATGTTTGCTTTAGGTATGAGGATGCCATTAATGTGTGTAGGCGTGTGTGGGTACAGAGCCATGTGCCACTGGTTTCACTTATAGTCATATGGAGAATATCTTATCATTCAGCGGTGTGTTTATATGACACTTGAGAAGCATGCCAACATCCTCAACATTCTTTAGATATACATAGTATTTTAGGCACGCACACGTTTTACTCTTTTAAGCTAATCAGAAAAAATGATTGAAAATTCTGTAGAGTTGCACAATATTTAGCATCAGTATTGCAATGTGCACATCTGCAATAGCCACGTCGCAGGATGCACAATGTGATCAGGCACCACAATTTAAAATGTATTTATTATTATTTTTTAATTAATTGCAACATTTAGCCATTGTGGAGGTAACTTCATAATTTGCATGAGTGTTTTTCTGTAACAGAAGTGAGGGCCCCTATTTTACACTTTTAAAAATATGTAGGATACGTTTTTGGTGTCTCCATGCAAAATATATCTGTAAAGTTTCAGCTCAGAATACTTCAGCTCAAGTTTTGCCATTACAAACATAGTTCGTTAATTCGTTAAATGAACAAATGTTTTGAAAGTAAAAAAAAAGACTATAATAAACTGAATCTATGCACAACAATCTGTCCAGGGGTGCGTTTCCTAAACAACAACATAACTCGTGGCAAAACTATCATTGTACGATGCATTGTTTGGGAAAAGAACGAAGTAGTAACAAAAGTTTCCCAAAACTCGTAGTTTCTCTGTCGCAGACCCGTCGTTTGAGCCACGTTAGTTATAACGTAAAACACCAATAATGATGCTCTAAACGGGGTGGAGTAACTACTTCTTTAGAGAACAACCCCATCATTTGTTTGTGCAAATTGTTTTACACGCACACGCAATAAAAGAAATCCAATATTAGTTTTGGTAAATACATGCACTAGTTTTCCATATATTTTAATTAATAAGTAAATGACTCATATAGAGCCTGTGTTTCCTTTACAAATATTATTGAGAACATTACATATTGTATTCTAAAACATAAAATCCCTTACAATAGCTAACACCTATATAAATATATATACACCATCTATAAATCATATAAATAAAGAAATAAATAAGGAGGCGTTTTGTAAAAATTTTAGGCGATTTAGTATTCATTTTTATTTATTTATACCTAAAACTGATGACTTTATTACTTAAAAAAATTATTCCAAGCTGAAATGTCAGAATATTCTAAACGAATAGGGCATAGGGGGGATAACTGGGAATGGAACACTTTTTAAGGCCCAAAATTTTAATTTTGAGATTTAAGACATTTTAAGACCCCGCCGACACCCTGATATAGGTTTACGTTTATGTTTTTAATTAGCCTAGGTTATGAAATGTGTATGTACTGTATTGGGCCTGTATGCTAAAACATTTCTGCAGTGGTTTGAATGCGTCAAAGTTCCAAAAGTTTACATAAAAAAACAATAGGATACTTAAAAATGATATATGTACAGTTGAAGTCAGAGTTTTTAGCCCCCCTGAATTTTTATATGAATTTTTTTCCCAATTTCTGTTTAACGGAGAGCAATTTTTTTCAACTAATTTCTAAACATAACAGTTTTAATAACTCATCTCTAATAGCTGATTTATTTTAACTTTGCCATGATGACTGCAAATAATAAATGAGTAGATATTTTTCAAGACACTTCTATACAGCTTAAAGTGATATTTAAAGGCTTAACTAGGTTAATTAGGTTAACTAGGCAGGTTAGGGTAATTAGGCAAGGTATTGTATAACAGTGGTTTGTTCTGTAGATTATTGAGAAAAAAATATAGCTTAAAGGGGCTAATAATTTTGTCCCTAAAATTGTGTTTAAAAAATTAAAAACTGCTGTTATTCTAGTCGAAATAAAACAAATAAGACTTTCTCCAGAAGAAAAAATATTATCAGACATACAGTGAAAATTTCCTTCCTCTGTTAAACATCATTTGGAAAATATTTTAAAAAGAAAAAAAATATATATATATATGATTATTTTTGTTATTATTAAGTAGGATATTGTTTGTTTATTCCCTAAAAACAAGCATACTATAAATTAAAACCCCTAATGTGATTTATAAGTGAGATTAGAATACGTGTTTGCTTTTTGTTAGTAGTTTATGTTTTAGAATAGAATAATGTTTTTTTTATGTGTGTGTGCGTGTAAAACAATTTGCACAACAAAAAAAATTATGGGGATTTTCTCTAAAGAATTTGTTACTCCATTTCCGTTTTTTGGGAACCACTCGTCACTACATTGTTCCTTTTCCCAAAAGATGCATTGTACTATACAGTTTAGTCACTAGGGCCAGACAGAATCTGCTGACTTTTTTGCTATTTCTTCATAATTTTTTTTTTAAAATCTGTGGATTAATGTGGATCAATTTTAGTAGTATCATAAATAAAAACTTAATATATGAAGCAAAACATAATACCTTTTTAACTTTGATTTAATCTTTACAATGCAAATCCATTTAGATTCACTTAATTGGTAAACAAAGCAATTCTCATATATGATATATCTACTAAAAGGCACAGACTGTATTGTAAATAAATCATATGAACATCTTCATATTAGTCAATAATATTACTGAAATAAGTTTAAAAACTGAAAAAAATATAAATTTACAATTATTTGCACAAGGAAATAAATAGACTCAATGGTGGGCTAAAAATCAGCAGAAATCTGTGGATTTCTGCAGGTGCAGATTCCGTGTGGCCCTCGTCACGAGTTAACGTCATTGTTT